TTGGTGGACGACCCGTCCTCGCGACAGCTTTGGATTAAATCTTCATACCGTGAAATCAGCAACGGTCACGAAAATAAAACGCTGTTTATCACGAAGGATGCCATGAAATAACTGAGAACACACTTGTCCTTCACTCAGCTGAGATTTCATTGCAGTAAACAAAAAAGAACGTACAATCCACGTGACTACCGTTGCTAACAGCTCTGGTGAAGCTGTTGTACAGTATTTCAGCGGTAAGACGGATTCCCGCCCTTTAGGCTATTGCTGTCACCGGGATGAACATTGATCGACTTACAGCTGCTATTTGCCATACATTTCAACTGGCATTCAAATTCGTCCACAACAACAGTCGTCTGAATAACATGACCCACCAAGGCATGGTCTGTAACGAAAAAAAACGTTCTTTCTAGTAACTACTAGCTATACAAAGAGAGTATAAGAATCGGTGTTTTCCTCTTTTCTTTTTTTATTTAGAAGTATTTACTCACCGACTCGAGTTTCAAAAACGCTTCCAAAAAAGTCTTTGTCTGCTAGGACAAACAGAATTCCCAAAAGGATGTTTAGGCTAACAATGGCAAACTGGGTCAGCCATAAAACAGCCATACTGAAATTGGCCGGTTTATCTTTCCCAGGTGGAGCTCCTTAGTTTTCTTGTTGCATATCAGCTTTCTTATATTTGCCTTCCTCTGAGGGTCATTGACTCACAATTGAAATACTTCTTATCTATAATTCATGATTCCTTTTTATTCATCGCTTTAATTGCTCTTCAGTTTGCACGAAAATTTCTTTTGTTCGTCGCAGTAATAGAAGAGTTTGTTTCTACTTTTATCATTATCATTGATAATCTGATTTGCCAAATCAACAGAGTGACTTTTGTTTTGAGGAATTTGCAATTAAAGAGTCGACTTTCCTCACAAGAAACATCCACACAGGATGCATGACATAATTTATACAAAGTAAAAGAAAATTGATTTTTTCACTTTGTTTCCATTGACATGAAATCGAGAGGACAAAAACTCATCCATTTCATCCTTTGAATAACTTTTTTTCGCTTACCGGTAGTTAAGTAACAAGTGGATTACATCCGTTTAGCTCTGATCACCTTATATCGCG